GATGATGGTGAGAAAGACGCCTGGCTGAGATTCCGGAAACCTGCTTCCCATTAAAGTAGACAGTCTTGGGCAAGATGAACAATAGTATGACTTGGTACGAAGCAGTGTCCTACATTCCTGGAAATGACTGGCTTTGCTTGTCAAGCAGAGAGATGTATTGTTTTTATGTAGTTGATAAAGGATCAATGCAGGTGAAAAACCTTTCACAAAAAGTAAATCCTAGCTATCCAATCTTACTAGGTCAAACATAGTTTTAAACATTTTGAATTTAAGATGTTTTTCAGTTAACAAGTAGAGATAGCCATGTTGCCCAAAACATGAGTTTTCTCCTAGTAATACAGGGTAATTAAGCGAATCATATGCATTTCTTTATTATATTTATATCCCATCTTTTCCTTGGAAGAAACTCAAGGTCCTAGTCCTCCTCTTTATTTTATCTTCTTAACAGCCCTGTGAAGTAGGATAGCCTGAAAATCAGTGATTGGTCTTGAGTTACCCAGTGAACTTGATGGTCAAGTGGGGATTAGAAGTTGGATATCCTGAGTCTGAGTCCCAGTCAAATACCCTAACTACTATACCACTCTGCCTGTCTCATTTGGTGCTAGGGAACAAATGTAACAGGCAGGACCAATCCATGGAAATTTGCTGCTTGAGGTGAGAAATTCACCATGACTGGTGTTCCTCATCCCAGTTACACACGGAGAAGCTGATTGGACTAACAACCGATCCTCTATCATATCCAAGGGCAACAGGCTAGCCTAGGGAGTGGAGGATGGGTTAGATGGTGCACACACCTCTACTTTCCCAAAGCAGCTCACTCCGTCCTGCCCTCTTGCATCTGCTGCCTGAGGGGCTGCCTCTTTCTGCCTAATGGTAGAGCCGGCACTGCAGGCAAGGACTTCTAGTCATGTGATGCAGCCCACTCATTTCATAGTGATTCATTCCAGAAGTATAACCAAGTTAGTCTGCTGCAGCCATGTTAACACTGCACATTTAGAAGGAAGTCCCATTGCTGTATAGCTTGCAAGTGAGTAGACTGCACACCTGTATAGCACCCTGTAGTGTTAGCTTCCTAGGCAAGAAGCCTGCTGGATTTCAAAGGCAGTTTGGCAAGCAAGGTGGAGAGTAGCTGATTGTAAAACACAAACCTCAAGTTGTTAAAATTGTGTGTGTTTGTGCATGCAGGGAATAATTCCCAAGCTACAATAGAATATGGAATTGGTGCTGCAGTCAGGTTTTAGTTTGGATCCTGGCTGTTGATTTAGAAATAGACATGGGAATTGCTGCATGGAGCAATGTTGTTTTGTATCTGTCTTCAGTGGGGAAGATGTAGAAAAAATTGCCTTTTCAAGATGACAATCTGAAGAACCAAAGCCAATAGTGATGATAACCCTTAGCCTTGATTGACAAATTGGAATCACTTATCTCTACCAAATTAGATGGCTTTAAAGAGAAATTAGATAAATTTGTGGAACATAAGTCATGATGGCTGTACACTGTGGCAGGCTCAGGGGCAGCATGTTCCTGAGGAACAAGAGTAAGAGATCAAGGCATGCTGTCCTCATGCCTTGCTTTTAGGCACCTTGAGTATCTGGTTGGCCACTGTGGGAAGCAGAAAGCTGACTTAGGCCTTGGGAGTTTGCTGGGAGGGATTGCCTTATGTTCCTGTTATTGCTGAGATGTAGCACTGATCAAATCCTGGAGCTGCTGGGGATGCTGCAGACCAAAGAATCATGCTCATGGTCAGAACACTCTCCCATTCCTTCATGTTAATCTACATCATTCAAGCATGCTTGCTGAATGTGGGCAAGTGGATTTAGGTGTATTTATTCATTATGACATTTGTATCCACCTTTCTTCCTCTTGCAGTGAGCTCAAAGTGGCTTATATGGTCCTGCTCCTCTCAATTTTATCCTCAAGCAACCCTGGGAGGTACACTAGGCGAAAAGTCAGTGTAGAACCCAGATCACCTGAGTTCTGGTTCAACATGTGATTTCCTGTGTCACTCTGACTCTGGCTCTCCAGGTGCAAGTCCAATAGATATAGTCAGTTAGGAGAACTCAAGTGTTCAGTACAGTCTCACTATATATTAGATGCTGATGTTCCATATTTGTTCGATAGAACTATGTATTAAATACACAGATGATAGGTATACATTTCAGGAATACTTAGCAGAGTTACTTAGAGCTTTAATTTGCCTGAAAATTATCTCCCAAAGTGGCTCACATGAATTGAAAGCACGAGAGGCACCAGGCTTGAAGTTGTGAGCTATACGTGGTTATTTTAAATTAGTTTGGACCAGGCCAAGGTTCCCCTGCTTGTGGCCTTGCTGGAATAGTGGCATCTCACTCTGGTCAGAAAGTGTGCCCTTTCCTCTGGTTTCCTCCATGCCCTTGCCACTGGCAGAGGTCTGAGAGGGGTAAAGCAAACTCCCCGAAGCTGTTCTTTTTCTGGCCAGTGGTTGGTAGGTTGTTTTTCTAGTTTTTAAAAACAGTATATACAATATTATTCAATGTAATACTGAATAGTTACAGGGAAAAAAAACATTATCAAACAATAAAATGTAGAAGTATCACAACCAGTGACAAGCATAAGCAAGTATATTTTTGGAGGGCATTTGATACATGATCTAGTCCCTGAACCATACAGGAGAGAAGTATCCCCATAGCATCTGCCATTCCTGGCATGTGATGTTACATGAAAGCATTCTGAAATCTTAAAGGTTCCTAGGTGTATATGAGGGAAAAGGTAATCGATCAGGTATCTTGGTCCTGAATTATATTGCCCTTTGCCATGATGTTCTTTCTGGGTGTAGAAAGTGGCACAGGCCAGAGTACTTCCATTCATCTCTGCAGTTCCACAGCAAGTAAATATGTAGCTTAATGTACTTACCTGAATTAGCACAAGAAACCTTCTGTTCAGGAACCGTCCCTAAATTTTCTTGCTGTGCTGTTTTTACATCATGGTCTGAATTATGAGAATAAGGCTTTGGAGAAGATTGAGGATGAGTGGAGAGGTGATCTTGACTTGGGATGGAGCAGTGTTACAGGTGTTTTGACCTATAGGTCCCAGCAGTTCTGACCATTGGCCATGCTGTCTGGGTCTGATGAGAAATGAAATCCAAACCAGCTAGAGAGCACTAGGTTGCCGAAGGGAAGGGGGATGCTAGGATTTGATTTATTGATCTCCTGATGCCTTGAGACTCTCTTGTATGTCAGTAATTCAAATTACAATTTAAAAGAAGAGTTGTTTTGGTTTTAATTTGTTTGAAAGTGCATCAGTGCAGCTCATCAATAGCAAAAGTAAGCATAACTTCTTGTAATTTAGTGCTTCCCAAATATATCTGCCGTAATATATGTATTCTGAAATCTTATGTGCACGCGTGCGCGCGTGTGCGCGCGCGCGCACACACACACACACACACACAGAGGGCTTAGCACAACTTTGCTGTATTGGAGAGTCTAAGAAATGCACATACTATCCTATTTGACCACAATTAGAAAATGTTGAAAGAGAACTATTTGTAGGTTCCTACTCTGTGGATGCATCCGTTGAACATAAGGGATGTACAGTGAAACTCCATGTCTTCTCAGAAATAAGTCCTATTGAATCCAATGATATGTACTCCTTAAGAATTGGCATTAGTACTATAATATTAGTCTGGAATGATTGCTGAATTAGGCATCATTGGTTGTGAATGTAACTTGTAGTTAGGAATAAGTTTTTTAAAGGGATAAAAAAAGATTAGGTACTCTCTTTTTTGCAATCATCTTTCCTTGGTGAGAGTGTTTTTTTTAACCTTTCTGCTTGAAAAGTTAGAGAAGTAGGAATTTTTACATATTGGTATATACAAAACTGGGTCCGGCACAAGAGTATCATCTTATCTTTTTTTCTTCCCCGGAAGAGGGAGGGGATGGGGATTTCATAACTGATTGAGTATAAAAATAGTCAGCATCAGCATGAGGCATTCTAGATAGCTGCTGAGATCCCAGTGGCGCAGCAAAGTACTGACCAGTGGTGGCAGCTTCCCTGGGCTACTCATGCTGTCCAGCTCAGTTTGTCAGCTGCTGTTTTAATTTCTGTAGAGCAATACAGGCAGTCCCCAGGTTACACACATCCAAGTTATGGACACCTGTACCTATGAACATGCTGCTATAAAGCCTATTAATTTAAAAATTCTAGTTAAAGGCAAACAATTTGTAGTAACTAAAGTGAATTAGTTTCCACAGTCTATTGTGGAAAATCATCACCATAGAGAGGAAGTGAAAGGGAAGAGAGGGAGGCCTCCGAAGCTTGCCTTCTTGCCCTGCCCACCCCCTTCACAAATACCTCTGGCATGTCCTTGGTGCAAGGAGGAGGTGCTGGTGAGTGAAAGGGAGAGAGGGAAAAAAGAACGCAATAATGTAATAAAGGAAGAAGAACCCTGCTAGGGCAGACCAAAGTCTGAAAGAGAGAGAGAAGCAATCCAGGACACATTTGGGCAACAGTATTAAGAGTCAAGGTCTTTTTTTTGTGGGGGAGGGGGTAGAAATATTCACAGTTTTTCCACTTTTGTGAGATCCTGTGTCCCTAACACAACTGTGGAAGGCCAACTGTATATGGAAGTATTTCTTAAGTGTTTTACATGCCTAGGAAAGTTATATATACTAAGACAAATATTTTGGCTTACTCGTGCTAAATATAACCCATACATACATCTGACTTACATACAATTTTGACTTAAAGATGTTCTCAAGGACAGAACTTGTTGGTAACCCAGGGGCTTCCTGTACTCTGTCAGTTGTTCCACTGTGGAAAATTTAAATGGTGGTTCCTAGCCATCATTCAATTAGATGGGGAATGATCAGAGGGCGCTTTGTCCACCCACTCCTCTCAAACCCAGACCAGCCATGCATATAAATAAATGAAACACCTCTGATGTTTGTTAGGTACTGAAGAAAAAGGCTTCTGGCTAGCATCAAGCTAATTTTAACTCACTCTCTTTTTGCATTGTGTTTCAGAGACAGTGAGATAAGTTTAAGTAGATCAATGGTCAATAACTCTGATAAAATAAACCAGAAGAGTGGCTCTTCAGTGTTCCAGCATTCTGCAGAAAGATGGAAAATCAATTCTTCCTTGGTACTGGAAATAAGGTGAGTACCTTAAATAACACAATGAACTCATTTATATATTGAGAACGTTGCATTCTGTGTCTCTGTGCAGCAAACCTACCTTGATTTACACCTGTTGATGTATAATTTAATAGTGCTGAAGACAAAAGTTTGGACTGAATGAGTGATCTTAAACAAGCCATGGTCTTTCAACTGACCCTAGATGTCAGGTTTGTAAGGATAAATATGGGGTGCTGAATTCCTTGGAAGAAAGGCAAGAAACAAATATGAGAGATAGAACATAAAGTAGCGCATTCCTGTTAAACAAAAATTCTGTCATGCATGCAGTTTTTGAAAGATGAGAACACAAAAATCTTTTAATGGACAATTCTGTTCAAGTAGCTGTCACTCAGAAGTAGGGATCTTGGAAGCCACAATGGATTCCAATGTGTTCAGATTTCTGTGAATCTAGTCTGTGTATTCCACAATGTCTTTTTCAGAATCACACTGTTTCCATGGACTTAGCTGGAGGTGCTTGTGTATGTATTGTGGCATGCTTCACATTCACTGGAATCCTTCAGAATCCTTCAGATCATTAACCTGCCCAATGTTAAATCCAAGGAATAGTTGGTTGGGAAGTTTGTGGCAATGCTGAAGTAGTTTTGAAAGTGGGTTGGGAACCTTAATGACTCCCTGCAACAGTGGTGTTGAACCTCTTTCAGCCTATGGGACAATCTCATTTCAGAAAAGCTTGAGTTGGCCAAGGGCAAAAGGTGTAAGGACAGAAGAACCAGCATCTTTTAGCTTAAAGCTCTTAATGCCCATATCTAAACCTTAGGGAAAGCATTTCATCCTTTTAGAATGGGGCCAAATGCACAAAAGCTGGGAAGCGACCGAAGGATTGATGGTCAGGGGAATAAGGGTGGAGTTAAAAGAGCCAGATTTAGCCTCTGGGCCTGAGGTTCTGTTCCCTGCCTTGGTTGTAGCCTATGCTACTGTAAATGGTTATTAGGTAGCTGCATGAATGAGCATTGTTTACATGTTCCTCATTGTTATCCTGAAGCAGGATGGGCATATTATTGCAGCATAGCAGGCTGGTTACCACCACAAGGAAACAGGAAAAGAAAATTTGGTGGGCTGGTCATTTATCTTCTGGATATGATCTGACGAAGAGCGTGATTAGTGGTATGTATGGAAATCCAAGAGACTGGGGAGGCCTCTGTGAGGAATAGCATATGCTATCCTAGTTTATGAAAGGCTTTAGCAAATTATTTCTCTTGAACAAAATATAGTAGAGATGATGCTTTCAGCCTCTGGATCAAGTCTCTCTTGTTCTCCTAGCGACTAGTTCAATAGGATCACCTAGTGGATACAGTGGCACTTGTGGAAACTCTGGGGAAAACAGAGCTTGTCATATTTGGATTCTTTATTCTAAAGGAATCCATGGCAGACTGTAGCCAAATGTGTACCCTGATTTTAGGGAAGCCAATGTTCATAAAGTCAATATGCTGCTAATTAAGGTCTCATGGCAAGCAACTCTGCTGAGAAAAGGAGTCCATGTTGGTGGCCTTTTTAAAGAAAGGAAATTATAAGGGTGCCACTTCAAACAGTTATGACAAGAACAAGGTTAGAAACAGCAGAAGAACCCAGGCTTCACAGATGACAACAGTAAGCACACGAAAAGGAAGTGGAAGAGAGGCCAGGCTACTAAAGAAGAGTATGGGCAGATAGCAGAGATGGTCTTAAGGAGGCTAAAGTTGAGAATGAGCTGAGGTTACGTAGCAAGGGATGCTAAAAATTACAAAAAAGTCTTATTCAGATACTTGCATAGAAAAGATGGAGAAAAGAAATGTAAGTTGAGCAGCTCATTGCAAATGGTAAAATGATGACAGATGGCAAAGAAGGGCTCAGTTCCTACTTTGGCTAAGTTTTTACCAAATGAGGGTCTAAGATCTCCTTAGCAATGTTGATGTACAAGCTGAAGAGGCAGAATTGCAGGTCAAAACTGATAGACAAACGTTCAAGGAACACCTCTTTACTTTGAACAAGTTCAGATCTCCAGGGCCTGATGAATTGCATCCTAGAGTAATAAAGGAACTGGCAGAAGAACTCTCATAACCATTGTTTATTATTTTTGAGGAATCATGGAGGGTTATGTGAAGTGCCAGACAATTGGAGGAAGGCTAATGTTGTTCCTATCTTCAAAACAGTAAAAAATAAGGATGCGGGGAACTACTGACTCTGATATCAATCCCTGAGAAAATTCTGAAGCAAATCATAAAGCGGTCAGTCTGCAAACACCTTGAAAACAATGCAGTGATTACTAGAAACCAGGATGGATTTGGCAAGAACAAATCCTGCCAGGCTAATCTGATCTTATTTTTGATTGAGTAACCTCCCTGGTGAAGTGAGGTAATCTTGTGGACATGATATCATCTTGATTTCAGCCAAGTTTTGAAAAGTGCCCCAGATCATCAAATCAGCTAAAAGTAGTCTAGATGGAACAATTACCAGGTGGATCCATAGGTGGCTACAAAATCAGGTTCAAAGAAGCTTGTCAGTGGCTCTTCCTCAATATGAGGAGAGTTACAGTGGGGTTCCTGCAGGGTTCAGTCCTGGGCAGAGAGCTCTTTAACATTTTTATTAATGGTTTGGATGTGTTTGTGCCGGGAATGCTTATCATATTTGCAGATGGCACAAAACTGGGTGGGGCAGCTAATACCCTGGAAGACAGAAACAAAATTCATAGTGATCTTGATCATTTGCTTAACTGGGCTGCAAAAAACAGAATGGAATTCAGGAATTCAGTAGGGACAAATGGCAAGTTCTGTGCCTAGGAAAATTAATCAGATGCATGCACCTAATTGGCTTAACAATACTACAGATAGGAAGAATTTTGGAATTGTTGTAGATTACAAGCTGAATATGAGCCAACAATGTGATACGATTGTAAAATGGCAATTGGTATTTCGGCCTGTGTTAATAGAAGCATCATTTCCAAATCCTCTAGTAGTAGTTCCCCTCTACTCAGCATTAGCTGGGTCACATCTTGAGAACCATGTTTTAAGAAAGATGCATACAAACTGGGAAAATTTCAGAGGAGGGCAACAAAGATCAACCAGGAACTGGAAATAAAGCCCTATGAGGAGATATCAAAAGAAATGAGCATGTTTAGCTTTGAAAAGAAAAGACTGAAGGGATACAGTGCACTCTTCAAGCGCTTGAAAGGCTGTTACACAAAGCCTTTCAGGCCTGAGAGCTCTTCTCAGTGTACAGGACATAGAATAATGGACTAAAGTTACAGGAAGCCAAAAACTTCCTGACTGCTAGAGCAATGGAATCAATTTTCTAAAGAGAATGGAGAGTGTCCCACACTGGAGGCATTCCAGATGCAGCTGGACGGCCATCTGCCAGGGATGCTTTAACTTAGAGACCTACACTGGACAGGGTGTTAGACCCAATGGCCTTATTGGCCCATTCTATGATTCTGTGAAAATTTGTACCTTCCTGCATTGAACCTTTCCATTTTTTAATGTTGTGTGGATGCCAGGGCAAAATATGCCTCTTCCATTTTGATCAAACCTTATGAAGAGTCCCATACAAATCTTTTATTATGCTAAATTCTCAGTGCAGAATATGATCTGCATAATGGCACATAGGAAGTTCATTTGGCTTGGCCCCAACATTGCAACCTTTTGTATAATAAAGCACAAGAGAAGATAGTGACAACACAGGGCTAATTACCATGTGCAAAGTAGTGTTGAAAGGAATCTGCAGGAGCCCTCTAGTCTGGTTGCCCCTGGAAATCTTAGCCTTTGATTCCAGTTCTTCACCTTTTTGAGATCAGATAGCCAGAAGCAATTCTGATAATGTGGCTCTACATACACTTGATCACTTTTCCAATTTAACAGATTAATATCATTGCATATCTTTGACAGGAAGAGAATCAGGATGTTGCTTTTGCTAAAATAATTTCAAGAATATAACTTATTGAGTTGTCATCTTTTTTTCTGTTGCAAAAGTCTAAAACCACAGTGGCTTTGATACCAGCATGGTAGCACAGGGAAATTTCCATCTTCAAGCTCAAAAGGAAATGAGTCATGGAGGGGTTCAGATCTGGCTTAAAAGTCACAGCTGATCTATCTTTGACATGCTTGCTCTTTATCTGAAATGGATGAGGGCTGCTTGGGGTTAGTTGCTTAGTGGTAAAAGAATTGTCATGTTCAGTAGTGCAGATGAAATCCCAGAAGGCAACATTTACAATTTGGGCATTACAGTTGGAAGCACTGAAGCTCTGGCATGTGTCTGCTTGAACATGGGGAAACTTGGAGCAGGTCTTAGGATGTGGTGTGGTGCAGTGGCCCAGCCTAGTCAGTTCAGATCTTGGGCTGTTAAACTGTCAAGGCCTGTATAGGGACATATGAGAAATTTGTTTCTATTTTCAACTTATATTGAACAGCCTGGCTGTTCACAATCTTAAATATGAACAGGAGCAGGGGTTTTCCCCCCAAGAAAGGTTAGCGCATTCCTGAATTCACGTTTGAAAAAATGCATCTTTTTAAATGTGGACTTTGAAAAGTAGATTTTTAAAACGTGTGTTTTTATGCTTTAGTTAAACTTGCGAAAAAATTGTTCAGAAATGGCTTCCTGTTGGAAATGCTCACATTTCCTGTTTGGGTGAGCAGAAAACCATAAATGTGGGAAGCAGTACAAATGTTTGTAGTTTAACAAGCAAGTAAGAAGTACAGATAAGTTTTGAATTACTTTTAGGAGAGTTTTGAGTAGCTAACCTGAAATGAAATGAAACAAAACGCCTATTTTTGAATCCCTAAGTCTGAAAGGGAGTTCTGATCACTTTCACTTGATCATCAATAGAACTTTCCATGTAATTCTGGATTCTGTCTTACCAAAGGCCTGAACAGAATCTCTCCACATGGCTCTTCTGTGGGAGTTTTAGAGCAAGATGGAAGAAAGTGGCTATCCCGATATTTTACATTCAGCTTTTTCCCATGATGGTTCAGGATGCTGGGAGTGGTTGTGCA